GTGACTTCTGGCAACGCGCTAAAATTGCGCACTTTGTAATGGTTAGACAAAGAAAAACATGATCGAACTTGATTTGTTCATGGGTGCAACTGATAGACAAGAATCCCTTGAAAGGCAACGGAAGCCCCCCCCCCCAGGAAAACGGCGCGGAGATCTCCTGCAGTCACTAGAAATGAGTTCAATTCCAGAGAGTTTTTATATTAACATAAAACCAAAACAGTTAGCAATGGCTAAGAGAAGATTGTCAAGCGAGTCCACGAACTTCATTAAGGCACAGAAGAGAGGAGAAAAAAGGGGGGCAACTCCAGGATGGATGCCCCCTTGACTCTTATTGGTTATTAATTTAAACTAGATTAGTTTTGCTCAACTTTGCATCTTTCACAAGTGCTGTGCTTTAACTCCCCAAATTCCTTGCCATTCCTTGCCCCAAATTCCTTGCCATGATCACAATGGCAAGCGGAGTGCCTCCCCACTCCGCTTGCCATTGTGATCATAGTAGTGGTAGTCAAGTCCAATACAGCTGCAGGGCACTGGGTTCAGCAAAGCTGAACTAAACAATTCTCACATTCAAGGAAGTATCTGAGCATGTTTGCATATTTGTTGTATTCAATTTGTATATCAATAAAGCATAAGGAGTTGGTTGTGTGTGTGTGTTTTTTTTTTAGAAATCTCAGCTCCAAATTCTCTTCTTCTTTTTAATGGAAATCCTTGCACCTGTGATTTCCAGGAATACAGAAAACTCTTTTTAAATCCAGGGTATTTGCAGATATAGTTTTTTCCAGGAAAACAAACTGCAAGAGATCCAAAGGTCACTGAGTATTCTGAACCATATTTTAGAATCAGACACTACAGAAACCCCACAGTTTATTTATGGGTTAGTGTGTGAAAACATCTAAAATATTGGATTAATTGCATAACCATGGTTCATTTTACCACAGGTAAACATATACTGTAGTAATGCAGTCTCACATGTCTAATCACAGTTTGTTGACTAAGTCATGTTCCAACCCTAACCCTGTCTCATTATGTGGCAGAATAGAACTTGGCAATTAGGTTACACCAGTGTATTTTTCTGTGTCTCAGACAGTATCAGATATGGTTTTCTTTTAAGTCTGTATTCTAGCCAAGTAAATTGGGAAAATCCTTGGGTTTCAAAAGATTTAAGAGAATAACTGAGTTTGAAGGGACCTTGGAAGTCTTCTAGTCCAACATCCTGCTCAAACAGGAAAACCTATACATTGCAGACAAATAGTCCAATCTCTTTTTAAAAACCTCCAGACTTGAAGCACGTTTAAATAACAATATGCTTTTCATTCCATCTTTCTTATTTTAGTTCAGTCTTTGCCAGCTGCTGCCCTCCATTTCAGTTTCCAGTACATCAGCTGACTATTCTGAAATTTAGTAGATCTAGAAGGTTGAAGAAAAATTAGCTGATTTCTGGTCTAATTTATACCAATTTGAGCACTGGCCTCTCCTGGAGTTCTCAACAATTGTCTGGAAGATTTTTGGAAATGAAGTACATCCCTGGGGAATATTCAGGGGAAAAAGTGTGTTACCCACCATCAGCAAGCAGATCATTTGGGACATTATGCAACTTCTCCATGACCTGTTTTCCTTGTTACCTTCTGGGAGGAGGCTCCGTGGTATCCGAAGCAGAACATCCAGATTCAGTCACAGTTTTGTTCCATACAGCATTAACCTTGTGAACTCTAAAGCTTCCTCCTTCCATTATGTATTCAAGATGGACAGTGAATAATATTTATATGTTACTTATATGTAAGGGTGTAGGTCTATACATATGTTGTATATAGTATGTTTTAAGTGTGTGTTATGTATGTGTACACTTTATGAGCAAGAAACTAAATTTCATTTTTAATGTGTGCCTTTGTGCCCATAGGGAAAAACAACAATAAATCTAATCTAATCTAATCTAACCCAACCCAACCTAACCCAACCCAACCTAACCTAACCTAACCTAACCTAGCCTAACCTAATCTAATGTTACAGTAAACAGTGGGATGTCTTTCAACTGGATCAGTAACCAACTGATCATTTAAGAATTGCTTCATATTTATCTAGTTGTATTTCCTTATGTGGGACTGAGTGTGCTGGATAAAATAATACATTATGTTTTTTCCTACTAAGGAAGGGATGCATAATAAGTTCCTCCTCCTCTGCTGAAAGTTAGATATGTGAGTGTGAAATGCACTAGCTGTATTATTCACATAAGAAATGAACAGCAGTTGCAACTCTTGAAAAAATATCTGATTTATGGATCTTTTAATACAGACAAACATGTGTCAATTTATATGTGTTTGTGTTTGGAAATCTTTGCATGCATGGACATGCACACATCTCTCAGTGAAATATCTGTACGAATGAGTGAGACTTGGAGACCTGGGTAAACATACTTTTCCTTTCTTGATACCATTCCAGCTCTTTTCTTTTGGTCAGATCTTGCAAAACCCTTCCTGCAGGGAGGAAGGAAGATATAACTTCAAGTGGCCTTCCTGACCCTAATATCCTTCTGTGGACATTTTCTTGGACTCTTCTGTAAGCTTAAACATATTCATGGGTTCCCATTCTGATTCAGACAACTATCCTGACTTTGATTGGGTTTAGCTACTTTGAATGGGCTTCCCAATACCATCTTCAGCCAGCCTCTTGACGGTATTCTTGGAAAAGAAGGATATTCCAGATTGGAGAAACACATGGATGCTGATGGACTCAAAATCATGGGAATGGTGCAATTCTTTACATGAACCGCAGAATGTCCAGCTGCAGGAAATCTGTTCTTGCCCACATATGGCCCAATAAATCTATTGTTGTTTATCTCAGCCTTCTCCCAGGGAGGATTGGAGCTGGACATGAAAATTCTGGAGTCCACCATATCTGGAGGGTATCAGGAAAGGGAAAAGCCTATTTAAACTACACCTTCTCTCTCATTCAGTTAAAATGCCTGGCTGAAAGGTGGACAAATCCCGGATCTACAAACTGAAAAGAACTGACTTCGACTGATTCTTCTGGATGGGAGGCTGGAGATGGACAGAATTCTCTCCTTTCAGATTCTCTTACCATTGTCTAACAAATCATACCGAGATTGCTGGGTTTTCTTGCAATGGCAACCTTGGAATACGACCACATGAATTCCAGTGCAGGTTTTTTCCAAATGCGAGTAGCTCTTTTAGGGAGCCAATTTTCTTAATCTGCCATTAAATGAAGCTTGAATTTTTTTACAGGCCTCTTTGGGTTTAAATCCGGAGAAAGCTGCAGGAATGATTTCCAAGAGAGCGCAGAAGGACGGGGCTGTAGAAAGCTGTCCCCCATCCCCGACCCTTTTTAAGGGAAAGCAACGCCACGTTTTTGAGAACTGCCTGCAGGAAGAATTAGGAAGAGGTCGTGTCCCGAAATCGGAGTATTTGAAAATTAAAACAGACTCATTTGCCACCGGGGTAGGTGGATGAATCCTAAATCAGTCCGTCGACCCAGTTACACAACCAATCATGGCTCCCACATTCTGATCTGGCAGGGATATTCTTAAAAATAATCGATGTCACAGAGAAAGAGAAGAGAGAGAAAATCCTGCTAGCAACGAAATTCAAGACAGGGCGGCTTCAGCAAAAAAGAAAGCGGGTGCCATACCAAGATCCGGCCAAATACCTAAATTTGGCACCCCTTTTTCTCAACCTTCTCCCCAAATTTGTAAATTGAGGCAGAAGAACCGTGCGCGATAGCAAATAAAGAGAGGCTGCGCTGCTCTGAGGTTTGGCTTCGGAGAGACCTCCTTCCATTGGCATCTCGAGAACCGGGCCATCAGCCGCGAGCGAAGGTCGGGCAAGAGCCGCCCCGCCCGCATTGGCTTATTCCCAAGAATGCCGTTCAGCCACTTTCATCTCTGGCAGGAAGAGAGCCAAGTATGCCGTGAAAGCAGAAGAATAATAATAAGAAGAGGGTGAAGGAAGCGAGAAAAACTGCAACCTCTACAAATATTAATGGATGGGCGAGGCTTCCTTCACCCGTTGGGTGTCTCCGAGATGCATTTGAATACAACCCTTATCACACAGCCACGCAGCCATGGGAGTTAGTGTGGTTTGATGATGCTGGCTGGGGTTGATGGAGCGCGTTGGGGGGGGGGGGAAATGAGTTCCCCCACAGAGTGCTATCGAGTGCTAGCCGCCGTTTGCTATGGGCATTGAGGTAAAATAACAAGAGAATATTGTATTACCGGGCGCAATCGAGGAACTCTCCTATTCAATCGATATTTCGTTTCTTGCCCTGTTGCTCTGCTCGTGGTTTTCCTTATTCTTCCTCTTCGCCCGCGACCATCCCTTTGTTCCCACCCACCCTCCACCCCAAAAGCGATTGCCTCACGAGTGATTTATAGCGTTTTCGAGGGTCACCCAGCCATCGCTGTGGCGCTGAAATGTCTGTCTTATTGATATATTGGTAATGGTCAGATGACACTATAAGAGACTATAAATCATTAGTCTGGCATGGCCTATACCGTTTAGGTCCAGCCACGGAGAGGCGCGCAGCTACTCAAGCCAATTCCGTTTGGGTCGGAATTATCCAGCCAGAAAATGCTTCAATTCCTTTTAAAAGCGAAAGAAACAGAAATATGAACCTCCGGTTGGAACTGCAGGCGCTGTGCCGGAGGAGACAGAAATAGAGGGGGGGGGGTTTACTTTCCAAATGGTGCACTTTTTGAAGGGGGTGTGTGAGAGAAAGATTCTGTCCTCGGAATCAAACCTTCTCCCTCCTCTCACAAACACGGCAAGCAATTGCTGTCCTTCAAGGGTCCGGCCTCCCACTGACGGTCACTGTCCCGAGTCCTACCCACTAGCCGCGGCGGAATCGAATTAATGCCGCTCCCCTTCTTCCTTCGCCCTGCCCAGAAATTGCAGCTCTTTCCCTTAAAGGCCCAGCACGAAAAGGCTGCAGTGGCCAAGATGATCAATAGCAAAAACCTGCCCTGGTCATGGTCAGCCGAGCCGGCTTACCTGTTTTGATGGCGTATTTCAGCGCCGTCCTGCAGGTCAATAGAATTTCCTCCAAGGTTTGGGGCTGATCCGCCAATTCCCAGTTATACGCCTGAAGCAGCTCGTTTGGATAGTGGAAATCAATCACTTTAGTGGATCGGTCAAAATTCTTTACCAGGTACTGAAGCAAAATATCCATCACATCTTGTAGGAAAGTCAAGGTGATTGCTTCCCCGTCCGAAGCAGGTAGAAGATCTGCAGAGAAGGAAAAGACAGGATGCGACCCTTTCAGATTTACACTTGGAATAGAAACAGTCGAGGCAGACTGTATTTGTTGTAAAGTCATTCCTTTACCCTGTAATAATCTGCAGGTCCTTAACATATCTAAACGCTTTGTTTTTTGTACAGTTCAAATCACTGGAATGGGAGAGACACAGAAACATGAAATATATTGTTAGGTCACTGTCAACCTAGTGTCACTGTCGTTGTCAACACAGAAATCTATATTTAAGAATTAATATTTTAAATATGTGGCATGTTTTTTTTTAAAAAAATCAAAGAGTTCTCTTTCAAAAATTAGACACATACTACCAATACCATTAACCCCCCCCCCCAAAAAAATTTAGGTTTATAAATCTTAAAATCGGTTTGGTCGCTGTTCTCCTCCAAGTGGTGCTGAATCAACCGTCAATTTGACAACAGTTCTCCGACAGAAAACAACGTTACTGGATGCGGAGCCACTGACATTATTCGGACCAGCTTCTATGTGATGTCAAAGAAGGCCATTTATTAGTTATATATATGTTGTCTTCGAGCAATATACGGTAGTTTGTTTTCAAATAGATTTATTGAGCCAGAATGATTCGTGTCCCATAAATATTCTTCTTGGCAAGCTCTTCCAAATTTAACAGTCGGATTCAAAATTTCTACATTTCTCAGTGTCTTTCCCCCCCCCCCCCGTGCACACACACACATTGCCCACCGGCCTACTCTGAGTATTCCTTGGGCCTAGAGAGATGTGGTGGGGTTTGAAATTAAACAATTTAGGAGTAGCCCATGAAACGAAAACAGTTTACTGTAGAAATAGTTGCACCTAAATGAAGAAAAACTAATTTATTTGCGTTGGAATCAACAGGAGCTTTTTGGGCAGTGTTTCCGGAGTTAATATAAAGCGAAGCTAGTCCTTGCTTAGGCAGATTTCAGTTGGTTTTTCAACGTGGGAATATAGAAAAAAATGTATATAAAAATGAGGCGGGAGGGGAAGAGAAGGTCTGGAATCTCTGTGAAGTCGAAAAACAGAATTTTTCTGGTGGCTGAATGAGAAGACAGGAGCGTTCTGGTGGAGCTGGCATCTGATCTCCGCTCCTTTTGAAAGAAGGGGTGGCGCACGCCTCACCTCCGGGGGTGGGGCTGGGGGAAATGAGTGACAGAATGCCCTTTGGTGTGGAACTACCCGGCTTCTTCTACTCCCCTCTAAAGAGGAGTAGAAACCCCAAAGGCGGGAGGGCTTCCAAAACGTCTGACTACCCACCCACATTTACAGCCCCCCTCTCTCCCCCGCCGCCGCCGCCACCACCGTCAAGTGCTGGGCCGGCTAGAGTCCAGTTACCTGAGGCGTGCAGGAAAGCATAGTTGAGCTCTCCTTTCTGGCAAGCGCAGGGTTTTTTGCTGCAGGTACAAGCCCCCTTTCTGGCGGCCAAACCAGGGTCTGCCTTCGGCGCTCCCGCTGCCGTGGTCTTGTCGCCATCTCCGTAGAGCAGCGCTAACAAAGACACAAAGGGCGAAGCGTCAATGGCACAGCGGGGACTGGAGCGAAATGCGCCCCCCCCCCATTCCAATGTCTCTCTCTGCCCGCACACCTCGAAGGATCGCCAATTTCCAGATTTCTCGGGAAAGCGTCCTTGGGACTTGGGGGAGATTATTTTTATTGCCGAAATGATATTATTTTTAAAAAATAAAAATAGGTTACTTTCGGTGATATGGGGTCCCTTTTGGCGTAGATGCTTACCACAGAGTTTGGTTGAAATGCCTCCGGTAAACTTCTGGGCAGCCTGGCACCAGGCTTTGGCTAAAGGCAGAGGAGAACAAGAATTGGCATTAGATACATGGGTGGATTTCAGCGGATAGACCTTATTACATAATAGACCGCTATTTCTTTCTGTCGACGTTATGAGTAGCGGAGTGAGGGTCCATCGGTTGCAAGCCTCTCAGAGGCTTCTGCGTCCTGAGCAGTGCTTTAGGATAGAGATGCGCGAGTTGCTTTCCTCCTTCTCTCTCTGAGAAAGATTTTAAGCTCAAGAAAGCAAGCCTCAACCGCTCTCTTTCCGTGGATTGTCCTTAAATTCGAGGGGGTAACCTCTATAACTTTCTAAGAGGGCCTTTTGCAATCGGCCACAGCTTCCATCATCCCCAGCCTTGCTCATGCTTCTCTGGAGATCTCATCGGCTCAAGAAAAGCAGTGTTGCGGCGCATCCAGGATTGCCAATTTCACCACCTGCACCCACCCAGCCCGCCTTTCTTTCCATTTCACTTTGGGTCGTTGGTGAGCTTTGGCGCGTCTCCTCGCAGACGCCTGAAAGCCCGGAGTTCGCCCTCGTTTCGACGCCCGGGCTGCCCTCCTTCGCCGGGGCAAGGTCTACCTGGCCAGGGGGACCGACTGGGTTGTCGTGGTCTGAAGCTCTCCTTTCAGGGCGAGAAGGGACGAGGTCGGATGGGGAGATGCCAAAAGTCCGGGAAGATTTAGGCGTAGAGCAACTTCGCTCAGGCAGGTGGCTTTGGGCTGCTCTTCCGGCGGGCTGACTGTATGCCAGAGAGAGGCGGGCCAGAGATTCTTACCTGTCCCTGGGTTGTCCGGATCGCCAGATCCCTCCTCAGCTCCGAAGGACCAAAAACCAGCTCCCGGAGTTGCCATCTGAGGAGCCGCTGAGAAGCTGCCGAAGTGCAGCCGGAGCGCCTGGGCTGTGTGTGCGGGAGACAGAGATGCCGCCGCGAAAGGCGGGACGAGGCGGGGGGTGCGTGAGAGAGGGGGGAGGGGAGGAAGGGAGGGCGCAGGAGAAACCGGGGCGAATGCGTACGGGGGAGGGTGGCAATGAGGACGCGGGCCTGATTGAACGCGACGAGGACGGCAGAGAGGCTCTGCGCGTGATTTCCTCTCACCGAAGACCTGGGCGCGCCACTTGGGCAGACATCCGTGCTTTCCGCGCTACTGACCCGCCGCTGACTCGCCTTCAGAAACAGCGGCTGAGAGGAGGCGCGACGGCGGCGGGAGCTTTGCCTTCAAGCGGCAGTTAGCAAATGGCCACCTGCTGCTGTGATCCTGGCAGACAACGCGATCAGCCCACTCCAACTGGGGCCGCCTCAGGCTGCAGCAAAAACCAGAAGGACGCCAAAACTGAAGAGGCCCTTCAGGAATTTGAGAGCAGGGGAAAGAGCGAGGGAAGAAGGCAGGATTGGTAGTCTGCTCCAGTGGCCGTCTTGAAAGAGGAGGAGGAGGATGCTTCAGATCACATCGGGATCCAGCCTTCAAGGGCTGTACTTAAGAAAGGTCACAGCAGGGCCAGGTCAGAAATTTCTTACCCTGCACAGGGCTGAGAACAGAAGGATCGATTCACATCATGCACGTCTCCTAGAGGCAGCAGTGTATGACTTGTATCTGGAGTGGCAACATTGCTTTACTCAAAGATGCCAACAACTCGGCCATCCATAACGAAAAACAGATCTAGTGGGGATCACAGGATAGTTCCCACTCCCTTCTCCTCCTTTGAGGGGCACCAGTCACACTTCAGCTACTGCAGCACCTTTGGATCTTCTTAGGGCACTGAAAACCCTGTTCTGATTCTGTAGACGTTCTGTGCTCCTGATCTGAACAGTTGGCCCAACTAGAGATTCACTGGCGAGAAATAACACAGTCTATTTAGCCTGAGGGAAAAGTTACAAGTTGATGGACACTTGTTGGCCATCTCACCCACCAGATATTTAAACAAGCAATTTTCCTTGTCCTAGCTAGAGATGCTGGGCTAACACTTGAGTAGGGCAAAACTCTTTCCATTGCCAATTTGCCTGGTTTTCCTGTGCCTCTGTGTCAGAAGAAAGTTTCTGGCCAGTTGTTTTCTGTTTTAAAACAAGCATCTTCCCCTGACATGGAAATCACATAAAAGAAGCTTTACCATGAAGCTTGTGCAATGGGCTACAAATATTATCTCCCATTATTTCGGGGAATTTTCTTTTCACAACATCTGATAACCCCCAGTCAGGAAGCCTTGTACGACCTGGGTCATAATTTTCATATGTCATAGGACTAAGTAAAGTACTTAGCCACTTTATGAGACAACTTGGACAATTTCTGCTTCCTTCGTAGCTAGTGAGCCAAGCAGACCTGGAGAAGCAGCAGTATGGGAAACATAGTACATCCTCAATTATGGCAATCAGCATAAAAATCAAAAGCTACATAGCTGCTTTCTCTCTCTCCTTCTCTCTCTCTCTCTCACACCATTCTTACTTTGCCATCCTATTGATTGTGCCTGCTCCTGAACTCTTCAGCTCAGGGAGAGGGGATGGGAAGGGAAGAAGGCCACACCTTTACTGCATGGAACACTACAGCTTTCCATCAGCTTTCTTTCTATGCTTAGGATGGAATTGATTGACACTGCTGTCTGTTTTTCTTTTTGAGATAAATTAGATCCGAACACGCTCAAGATATTGAGCTAGAAGTCTGGGGCAGCTCTCCCCTCCCTGGTATCTTCCAGAACTGTTGGATTTCGGCTCCCATTATCCTCTAGCCAACTGAAAAATGTGGAAGCATACTGGAGGGGTAATAAATCTTGCCTGGAGTGTGCTTTATCTCTAGGGTATCTGCAGGCAGATAATAGCTTTCAATTAATTTGTTGATGTACATCAAAGATGCCCTGTTGGTGAACTGATTTCACAGTATTCCTAGAGAGGCAGTGAATACATTGTCTGCCAGAATCAAAATACAGGGCTCCAAGACAAAAATGTGTACTTGAACAGAGAAAATCAACATCAATGCTTCTCATACAGAGAGAGTATAATTTGGTGACACCTCTTGCCTCCACGATAGTGAAGAAGCATTTCCTATAGGAAAACTGAAGATGGTTACTGTCTACCATCTTCTTATCCTGTTCAAGTCCCTGGCTTGTGTCCATGAACAGGTAGCAGGAGTAAGAACCTCAGCTGGCTGGTTGAAAAACACATTTGTGAGTTAATGAATGGGAGACAGATTCATTAGTCTGTCAAGCTATGCTGGAGGCATTTACCACCAACTCTGGAGTAACTGGAAGTGAGGCATTCTAGACTACTCATAGCCCCATCATGGGCCACGATCAGGATTAATTGGAGTTTTAGTCTAATGCCATTTGAGGTCAGTACATTTTCTGCCCTGTTTCACCTGGGTTTGAGCAATCACATCTGGGCTTCAATCATGCAACAGGGCGGTTTTTCTTTCCAGCTGTGATCAGAATGAAAACTGACTCCCTCTGTACTCAGTGATAATAGGAGCCCTCCCCCTATATTTACATAGGCATTATGTGGTAGCATGCTTACATTTAGGCTGGGATAAAATTCCCTTTTTGAAATGTGCTCATCTTGCCCTTTATAGTAAATGAAAAACAAAATCTCATACAGCATTGATTTCAAAGCATCCAATCAGAATAACCTCTAATTTTACTCTTAGTTTTGCATTTTAAAGTCCATCTCTTATGGCAGTCTAAGCTTGAAAATAAATTAAGTTGGCTGAGATCTGGTTAGTATTTAGATGAGAAATTCTCAAGATATCCCAGGGCAGAGGCTCAATGGAGAGAGTGGAACATCATTAACATATTGTTACCAGCAAAATAACGTGCTCAGAAATGGAATCCAATTCAGGACTCTTGTCACTTCTAACAATCACTATTCTGCTTAAGGAATTTTTAAAATTACGTCCCCTATTAAGGATGTGGGCATCTTCAAATTGCCATGTTAAATTGCAGTTGCTAAAAAAACAGAATGAGAAAGATAGGGGAGCTTCAAGACCCAGAGCAGATCCTTGGGGCACAGATGTGAGTATATTTCACAATGAAGAACAACTGAATAGACCCTTGTATCCTATCTGAAATTAGGATGCCCTTCTGATTCCCCCCCCCCTCCACTTGTGGGAAAAGCTGCTTCCTCTGGGGAAAGCAGATATGAAGCTATGAGCAGCCTCTCTTCCTTTGTTTGTACAGAACATGGAGCCCTTTGATGGGCATCTGTAACACAGACACTGCAGAGTCTTATTTATCTCAGGGCTAGTTCATGTCTCTGTTCATTGAACCAGGAGTTGCTGGCCTTTTAAATTGGCTAGAGGGGAAAAACTACACTCTCTTCACAAGGGCAGAAATGGCTTGGATAGCTACCTGTGGATGAGTACATAAGAACAAAATCACAGTGGGCTTTGAAGTAGTGCAAGATGATCTTAGATCTTTTGTTCTCATTGGTGTACCCTTCACTAGAATTAAATCCCAAAATAGTTTTGGACCGAAATGCAAGCTTTTTGTTCATTAATTCATCGGTTCTATAGGATTTGTAGTAGATGTAGTCATCATCTCACTTAGCTTTATACCCTGTAATAATCTAGGCCATGAATACATCTTTCCAAAATACTCATTTGGAAGGGGATACAGATGCACATCCGCACCCACACATGTGCGCATACACATACACACAAATTCCCAATGCATTTCCCATGGATTTCCCAGTTCATTGTGCACATCTCTCCCTTTTTAATACATAGTCACTCTGCTAATGAAAACTAAAGCTATTACTTATATGGATTAGCTATTACAAAGAAGTTGATGGCGTCACTATAATTTCACAATTTCTCTTTTTAATGGTATATCTATATCCCATTTATGAAAACGGCATTATGTAAAATGTCTTTGTTATAACTGTTTGAGCTAGCAGCTGCAGGATAATCTGGTCAAAACACGAGAGAAAATAATTCTTCCCACTGTGCAGAGATTCTGCAAGTCAATTTTCAACTATTCATGCAAAATAATAATAATAATAATAATAATAATAGTAGTAGTAGTAGCAGTAGTAGTAGTAGTAGTAGTAGTAGTAGTAGTAGTAGTAGTAGTAGCAGAATCACTATTTCCAATGAAACATATGCTTTTCTTTTGTTTTAATACAACCAGGGCAAAATAAATGAACCCGTACTGTATTTGGCTAACACAGTAGAGAAAAACTAAAGTTTTTTTTTTCTTTTAGGAAAAGAGCCCCTAATCACCTGATTTGCAGGAAGAGGATACAAATCCCCCCTATGGTCTCCCCTCTCAAATCATTATTCTCTACCCACAAAGGACTTAAGTGCTACTCTGATGTACAACATCTTTTCCCTGAATACAATGCCTACCAAAATGAATGATAATGTCTAGTTACCACAAATATATTGCTACATAGAGAGATCAAATTTTATATTTGTTTATTATGTCCATATGTTTCCATCTGCTCATTTAAATGCTAAAGCTCATTTAAAAGTTGGTTCATAATATAGTTGCTGCTTAAATTACTTGTACTGCTTCCACTATAACCCACGGTCTTTTAATATTCAATGCTTATTTGGTTGTCTATTTACATTAATTAAATTGATCATTTGAACCATAATATGTGGAGGGTTCAGAAATCCAGGCAGATCATAAACAATCTCACTATATAGATAAAGCTATGCAAAACATATAGAAAAGAAAACAAGATGAAAAATAATGTACTTCTCCCTCCCTCCCAAAAGAGCTCTTAGGAGCTTGAATATATTGTAGGAGAGCAGTATTTTTCGCATCTGTTTGCATATTTAAATAAACAAACATTATAACAAAGCCTAGTATCTCTCTTTGGAAAGAAGCTAAGACAGCATGTTCACATATACCCAAATACACAGCTAATACATCTATGTGAGAGATTTATTCAAAAGAAAAGGATATGGAAATTCTATACCTCCCCAACAAAAAAACAAGAAGAAAAAAAGCAGAGAGCGAATAGTAGTAGCAGTAGCAGCAGCTAATATTTCTGGAGAAGGCGCCTGCGTTGAGAGGTCTTCCGGAGTAGTTTTTGGTAGTCAAAAGGATAATCTTCATCTTCGTTCTCTTTGACCTTTGGCCTATGGATTACATTAGAGAAACATTTTAGAAATAGTAAATCAAAATATTTACTTTGGTACACACTGTTAACTGACTACTTAAGTCTACCCTGGGGGGGGGGGGGAGAAAATTTCCAGCTGACAAAATATTGCCTTTTGCAGCAAGTAGAAATGTGCTATGTGTGAGGGAATGTCAAATAAAGATGGTGTTTTATTCAATGGTCTGAAGTAACCAATTAAAAAGGATTACATGGAAGTGTTAGAAAAAAAAATAGGAATGAATTAATTGTTCACTCTGCTGTCCATTTGTTTTCTTAGCTGAAGGTTGTTATCTTCAGTTTGAGAACTAGGTGGTCATTGGTTTTTCAGATCACAAATACTCTGTTTTAGAAGAAGCAATTGGATCAAATGATCAGTTGAGTCTTTCCAATCCTGTGATGCTAACTCACCATCCTTGCACACTGGGAAGGAAAGAGAGAAAGAGAGAACAACAGCTTACAATAATGATGGAAAATTACACCTTGGCAAATTGGCTGTTGGATTTGTGAACCAGGCTCTTACAAAATGATGATGTTTAAGAATACATGAATGTTCTAGTGCAAAGCTTTTTGTACATATAAATCATTATCGGATCTCATAATTATAGATAATGAGCATGCATGTATCAATCACAGTCAGCTGACCATAAAGAAGGTTACAGATTTCTTGATTTTACAAATATCTTAATTTCACAGTGAAAAGCAGTATCTCAACATTAGCTCAGGAAATGGCTAGGTCAAAAACAGCTTTTTTCAGCAATTTGTATCTACTGAACAAATGTTACATAGGGGAGCTAGCTGTTAGGCATAACAAACTGTGCCTATTTAAGTGCTCTGGGTTCCTAGCTGCACTCTATGCAGTTGTACTTTGGCAATCTTGTGCCAGTTTTATTCACAAACACCAGAATAAATGCCATTTTTAATGCTGCAAATGATGAAATCTATGACAGTCGTGACTTAGCTAACAAGACTTTATATAGTTAATGAAATTCTAAAAGATTATTTACAGCCTGTGAGATTTCAACAGAGAAATCCTGGAAACAAACAAACAAACAAACAAACAAACAAACAGAAAGTGTGGATGCAAGAATGTGAGTAGATATAGTGTATACCTTTTTTAATGAAAATTATCAGCACTTTTGATCAGTGATGTCATCAAAGTAAACAAACCCACATGCTGATTACTTCACCAGGTCATGGCTCTAAGCGGAAGTGACGTGTTGGCCTAATCCAGGGATAGGCAACCCAAAACACTCAAAGAGCCACTTGGACCCATTTCCCACAGAAAACAAAACACTGGGAGCTGCAAAACTCTTTTGATATTAAAATGAAGCTAACACTGCATATATCCTTTTTTTACCTTTATTATGTCTTTACTTTAAAGGTAAAAGAGGATATATGCAGTGTTAGCTTCATTTTAGATGTCAAAAGGCTCTCTCTGTCTCTGTCTCTTTCTCCTCTCTCTCTCTTTCTTTCCCTCTCTCTCTCTCTCTCCCCCCCCTCTCTCCCTCTCTCCAATCTTCTGCTCACCTGGCAAGCTGGCTTCAAGCTGTTCTCCAACAAGCTCAGGGGTAGGCAACCTCAGCTCTTTTATGACTCATGGAATTCCTGCGACAGCATAGCTGGGCTAGCTAGCTCTCTCCTGCCCTTCCTGCTTCCTGCTTCCTGAAGAGACGCAGCAAAGAGAGGAGCTCCGCCCAATAAGCTTTTCAGCTCCTCGGAGAACACCGTGAATCCACTCTTTTTTTTACACACAAACACACAGGGGGGGAGGGGGAGAAGGGAAGGAAAGGCAAGTACCTCTCTCTGTCTCTGTCTCTCTCTGCAAATGCCTGGGAGCTGCAGGGGAAGGCTCAAAGAGCCACATGCGGCTCCGGAGCTGCAGGTTGCCGACCTGTGGCCTAATCCCATCAAGATATGCATGAGTAGCCCTAACAGCCCTATTTTCAGATAAGGCGTGTTGAACCTAACCCCATCAAGAAAGATGTGACAGTCAACCCTCTGAGTACATGATTAGCTTAACCTTAGACTAATTCTATGGACATTCAAAACCAAAAAAAGCTAAGTAAAGTGAATAATTAATAGAGGCCTGTGTTTTGGGGAAACAAGCCCTACTTTGGGGAGCTGTGAAATAAAAAAGCAAAAGACAAGGAATACTAACAGGAATTAAAATGCTCACAAGAGGCAAGCAGCCAGGTGGCAAGCAGGAGTTAAGACTTGTTCAGGCATGTCAGGACCGCGATTCCGGGCATGTGTGTTTCTGTCTGCTAGTAAAAAAGTTGGGTTAGAACTTGTTTGGGACATGCCCGGGCATGTCATACTCCCCGTGAATCTGGGCATGCACAATGCTGCTTGCCTCTTGTGAGCATTTTAATTCCTGTTAATATTCCTTGTCTTTTGCTGTTGGGGAGCAGAATAAATTTTATTAAGGCCATGCTTTGAACGGTTACGTGTACATGAGGATTTCAGGGCACAATTGGCAAAATATGTCTTTTTAGATTTTTACAAAGGTAAAAACCAGCTGCGGGTTTTAAAAGGGCTGTGGTTTGTTTGTTTGTTTTTTCTCCTGCATTTGAGGAAATTATTTTAAAACCGCCTAGAAATAAATACCTTTTAGAAAAAAGGGGGTTAAATTCAGGTCCTGGCTGCACTGATTTTTAAAACTCCACAAAAATTAAAAGCATCATTAGGCTAGAATGATTAGAAATAAAAAGCATTTTTTATTTTTTATTTCACAGCTCCCCAAAGTAGGGCTTGTTTCCCCAAAACACAGGCCTCTGTTAATTATTCACTTTACTTAGCTTTTTTTGGTTTTGAATGTCCATAGAATTAGTCTAAGGTTAAGCTAATCATGTACCCAGAGCATTGACTGTCACATCTTTCTTGATGGGGTTAGGTTCAACACGTCTTATCTGAAAATAGGGCTGCTAGGGCTACTCATGCTTATCTTGATGGGATTAGGCCAACATGTCACTTCCATTTAGGGCCATGACCTAGTGACTAATCAGCATGTGGATTTGTTTACTTTGATGATGTCACTAATCAAAAGTGCTGATAATTTTCATTAAAAAAAGGTATACACTATATCTACTTATATGTGTATATGTATTGTATGCATGTGAAAATAAAAAGTTTTGGCACTTAGACCTAAATCCCTTTTTATCTGTTGAAACATGAATTATTTGCATTTGGTAGATGGGGATATACAGCAATTATAGTGCCCATGAATCTGCCAACTGCCAGCATAAAAGCTATCTGATGAAGACAATCCTTATCCACAAAAATTTCAAAAACTGTAAGTGTGTGTAAATCAGAACTAAGTCTATTTCATTTGATTGCAAACACTCTGCGGTATGTATGTATGTATGTATGTACATATGCATGTATGTACATATAGTATGTATGTATGTATGTATTTAATATGCTGCCCATCACTATTACAACAACACTGGGTGAATTGCAGAATAATAACAAGTAAAAAAGACAATACAAAACACTTAAAATTAGAAAGATTAAATTAGAAACTAAAAACCAAGGGGACAGGTATACGGGGATATATGTTCTAGACTGGGTATATCTATCCAGTCTAGAACATTCCTATTGAGGCCCCAGGCCAACAGGCAGATTTAATTTTAAAATTCTATCATTATTTTAATCAAAGGAATAATATGTTGAATAACCATGTTACATAGTAAGAAAATTCTTCCTTTATATAACCCTGGAAGAAATAAGATATAACAGAACAATTCCTCCTTGATGATTCCTATTTTCTTACTCAAACAATCATGTAATATTCTGTATCTGCTTCTTTAATTTCTAAGTCAAACAATCTACTGTGAGGAATGTCACATTTTCTTATGAGGCTGCATTTATCTTCTGCCTCTCTGAACTTCAAATAAGAGAAAAAGGTTTATTAGTTTTCAAGGCCTTTGAAGGGGCTAAAAGAGAGCACTAGAAAAACTGGCTATACATGTCAGTATGACATATGGCCATTCTGACTTGTGATTAAGCACTCTCATCCTTCACACATCTACTTGGAAGACCCAGCTTTACCCAAGAATTTCATACTGATTTTGCTGCACAAGTTAAGAACAAGGTGCTGGTGAACTCAATAGGAGGTTGATCTAAATTTTGTAAATATAAGACTTCTTAAATAGGAGAAGCTCAACACCCCCCTATTTTAACTTGGTAAATATTAATATACTCATTTTTTTTTTAGAAACTACTCACCCTTCACTACTCCTTAATGTTGCAGAGATAGGATCTTGCATGAGATTCTTTACTCTTGTGCTGGCATTTCTATCCTTTGAGACGAAATCAGTGGATGAAAATTCCTGATAGTACCGATCTTCTATATTCAGTATCTTGCCCAGACTAACAAAAAATATATTAAACATATGTATATGTATATACTATAAATGGCAAAAGAAAAGCAACATAAAAGTAGATAAATTGGTATCCTTTAAGGGCAATGCTTATTCCCTTTTATATTTTGCGTGTGATGTATTCAGATCAATTCTGTGTTTGTTTGAAATTTTCATCATCTTCCTTATATTTTATAAGCTAATGTGTCTTTTAAGATTGCAGTTTTAAAGCACAATCCAAGCCACAACTAAAGGACCATAGACTTAATTACTTCTGAATACAGCCAATGGGAGTTAAAGTTTTGAGAAATGATTGGCACAAAGTTTGCAGTTTTGGACTTCACTAGGTTAGGCAAGAGACTCTTGCAGGCAGCAGGACATGTGCAGACTCCAGATGCCCTAAAGATTAGAAGCTCAATATGAAATCTTTCAAGATCTCACAGACATGTTGAACTCTTGTCAGATACTGTTCTAGAATGCTGAAAATTTGTAAGGGTCCAGTGACAATATGAGAGTGATGTTAGAAGAGATTTCAACTGATTGGGGAGAAAATGGGGGAAATGGCATGTGAAGTATCACACAAAATAGGCACTTGAGAAGCTGCTAGAAGCTACTAGTAACCCTGGACTGCACATAACAAAGGCATTTTCTACCATAGTATACTAAAAGTATACTACCATATTATAAGTCCCCCCCAAAAAAGTCCAGAGTTCTAAATGTCCCATTCAATACTGATAGCAAGTATGCACAAGTTAGTACTTCAAACCTGTTCCATGCTATAAGTTCTACAATTACTGGGCAATTTTCTGAAACACCATTTCTACTGATATAATTTGAAGTGCATTAGGCCTGTCTTTATAAGCCTCTATTTAGAAGGATTTATGTATTTAACATTGCTATGCGCCCGGGACTGCATTTTGGCAGGCAAGGCTTCCACTAAGCCTAGGCTGTAAGAGATTTAAATTCAGACTCCAGCATTTTGCTATATCACTAAGAAAGGAACATTATCAGGGCTATGTCAGGCTGAGAAATAAATGAATAGTTTATATTGATCAATTAGAGCACAGAAATAATAGCTGTGCATATGTTTAACACTTGGTGTAGGGCCATTATGAAAGAGAGAGCTTGATTTCAGTAAGCAAGTCCCTGGATTAAGAACACCCCAAATTAGGATAGTGCATAATTAATAATGGAACTTATTGTTGCAAAATTCAAGTTCAAAGCACAATGATTCAGATGAAACAAAACAATACTACTTATACAGTATTATACAATACAGGTAGTCCTTGGCTTATGACTGGTCACTTAGCAATGAAATTACGATGGATTCTTGTGGCCCAGAATCAAAATTCTGACAAGTTCTGTGATCATGTTATTGCAATTTGAACATTTGGCAACTGGTTTGCCTTTACGGCCATTTGCGGTGTCATGCGATCATGTAACCACAATTTACAATGGTATTTTTTGCCAAAAATTGGCATTTACTTCCTGTTTTCAGAAAAAAAAGCCCACTGCAGAAAGTGGATTTGCTTAATAACCAGGGCATTCATTTAATGACAATCATAAAAAAAATTGCAAGATTGGATGCAGTCACATGATGACCTGCTTAATAACTGATAAAACATACAACAGTAATTCCAAGTTTAATTACGATTGTAAATTAAGGACCTGTAATGCTGTTCCAGCTTACAGAGAAATTCAACTTAAGGTCAGACTTTGGGAAGGTTCTTAAAGATGTGCAGTACCAGGTACCCCCTATTTACAATCCATGGCAATGGATTCTTTTTATTTGTTATAGGTCTTATCCAAAATGCAAAACATATACAGTTATTTGAAATAAACATAATAGGGTTCTTTCAGAGAATAATGAGACCTTCATCAAGAAGTGAACCGAAAGTGAGAATACTTTTATGTAGCAAGCTGTACTTTGTATTAGCTTGCTATTACATGAATGCACTAACATAATGTAAACAGTGGTGTCTATGGGTATTAGGACCATGGACTGAATGAGTGAAAGAAAAAGCCCAACATTTTTTTCCAGCATCATTACACACTGATTCAAATTTTACTCTCCTGCTCCACCATTTATTTCCAGGAGGAAAACTTATATACATGAAAATATACTTGCAATAAAATGGAAATTTAAAAACTTTCAGTATTCTGTTTGGATTTAGTCTAGTCTCCAATTTATGGATAAGTGACACTAGGAAACTATAATGCTTGAATAAACTAAGGATTTCAAAATTTAAGAATAAATGTTCACCAATTAACAATGTTAACTTGCATGTGTCATAATTATTGAAACAGTGGAACCCTGATTTATTGGCTATCAATACAATGGATACAACTGCTATGGACCAAATTCTATAGTGATTTGGATAATTTGCATGATATTATATGTTATTTGTTTAGTGACCGTTCAAAGTTACAACGGCACCGAAAAAAGTATTTTACTACCAGTCCTTGCACTTAGGATCATTGCAGTATCCCCATGATCATGCAATCAAAATTCAGATACTTGACAAGCAGCATAGACTTATGATGGTTGCAACTTTCTGGGGTCATGTGATAATCATTTACAACTTTCTCAGCTGACTTCTGAGAAGCAAAGTGAACAGAAGCCATATTCACTTGCAGTAACTGTGTGATTCACTTAACAACTGCAGTGATTTGCTTAACAATGGTGGCAAAAAAGGTAGAAAAATCGGATGCAACTCACTTAACTTTGCTTAGCAAAGAAAATTCTAGAGGATAAATTGAGGATTACTAGTATTTATTTGAGATTGGTTATATGACAACATCACTAAACAGATGTCAAGTTGCAGCAATATACTCTTACTTTAACAGACAACCCTACTCTTGAATCTACACTACTCAGCTGGTCTACATACCATTTTTTTTTCTTAAATTACAATGTATTCCTGTTGTTATCTCACAATATTGCTCTATCTGCATCTTACTGAGAAGACAATTACCTGTTACTTCTTGCTTTTTGCCTTTCATCTTGCATAGATGAAAATTTCTGAAAAAATATTTTAAATGAACATCAGTATGATCAAACATTGTACACCTTAAATAATGTCAATTTACTGCTCATTAATATCCATAGATAAGGACCACTATAAATCTGATCCTTGGCAGTTTATGGCCAATATTAATCTGGTTTGGTCTATTTTTGTATCAATCTGCAAATTTCTAATAATTTACATGATTTTCCTTAAATGTAAATTTTGTACCTATTATCCCAAAATCTGCATTTCTGTATATACTGAAAGACAATTACATTTCAATCATTTGGACTTCTGGTCCTGCGCAGCAGCGCAGCAGTCAAGGAGTTTGGGACTCCGTGCCCTTTGGCTGAGTTTCTTCCTGTTAGGGTACCCTAAATGGGCCAGAAGTTGCTCCAAAGAAGGAAGGAAGTCCCGGGAACCATGGAGAGATGGTGGTTGACCAGATTGGTCCAGAAGAAGCTTTCTAGAAACCAACAGGAGAAAGGCTAGCCTAACTTCAGAGTCTAGCCCAACCTGCAAGCAACTGAAGTCAAAAGCACTATTTTAAGCTGATTGTAAACAGCACGTTTGAATCTGGATAAGAACATCAATTTTCTCTTCCTACTTATCAACTTTCCTGTAGAAAAAAAAATCCCAAGAAGCAAAAAACCTCCGAAAGTGAAGGAGGGAGATTTTTGCCCCACCCTTTTACTAATGGAAGCAGCAAATTAAACCTTTTATGGAGGACCAAAATGTGTTGAAATGAAATGAAATAACTATAAAACCTAAATTTGGAGAAGTTTAAAATTACTGAATGGTTAAGATTCTCATTTTAAAGGCAATTTGTTCATTTTGAAAATTTGAAAAATAAACTGGTGCTGACATCTAGTGGTGGATGAAGACTATGACAGCTATGGCTTTCATGCAGGATTTGGCAAAATCTGGAAAAAACTAATCTCTACTTGTGACCTTCAAAGCTCTAACAACAGAGAACAGCTGTGACCAAAAAGAAACCAATCTGTGCTGCAGACAAAGTGAGACTTATAAACTTCAGGGAACAAAAAAAACTTTTTTGAACTTTCTGGATTACAAGTATCTATTTAACGCTGACCCCAAAGCTATTTGCAGAGAAAAGAAAATTGGTCATCATGGAAAATCAGAGATTTATAGAAAAAACTTATCAAGAAAAAATAAATACTTTTCAAGAGGAGACATAAGATATGTTGCAACTAATTCAAATAACAATGATTTCAAACCACAAAGAAATCCAAAATAACTTTGAAAATATAAACCAATTCATCTCCAATTTAACTTTACAACAAAAGAAATCCCAGGAAACAACAACAGAGAAGGAACAGATAAAACAGATAATTAAATACAAATTTGAGGATAGAGACTTAAAGATGGAACCTAACAAAACAAAAAAGTATGATTTCACCCAAGTGGAAAAAGATTTACAAGAAATACTGGATTTGGAAAAAAAACTTATACTTTAACTCCACAAAACAAATTTGAGAATAAGAAAAAAGATTGGATAAAATGGCCTGCAGATATGCCAGGAAAAACACTAGAACTGGAGAGACAAAAAATGATAAGAGAAGCAGAGAGAAAAAGAAAGAAAAAGTTTTTCAACAAAAATGAATAGGCAAATGCCTCTTCAAAGATATTGTACTTGACTTACCTTTTATATCTACAGTAACACCTACAAGAATATGGAAAGATTCTTTGATTCAGTAGAACATATTGATTAAGAAAGATACTGGGCAAAAGAAAAAGGCTAAAGTGAAAATTAAGAAAATAGATGATGGGGCCTATCAGAGAGAATATTTAAAAAAAGAATATGGATAAAGAATTAGAAAAATTTTGGATATGAATTTTATTTTAAGAGGGAAGAGCCCCTCAAGTAACATAGTACTTTCTTTTTCTTCTTTCTTTTTATTTTATTTCTTGATATGAGTAATATAAAAAGTTGGAATGGCTTATATAAAGGAAATGTTTTAGATATTTAAAGATGATTTACTTTAAGAAAATTACAATGGATTAAAAATGTTTTGAATAAGAGTTAAAAGACTAGACCACTAGATTTATTAAATGGAATATTTAAAGATTAAATATATTTTTAATAATGGTAAAAAAGAACGAAATTTTTTTGGAAATAAATACCATATATTCCGGCGTATAAGATGACTTTTAAGAGCGTCGAAACAGCCTCCGAACTTGGGGGTCGTCTTATACGCCAAGTTGTCTTATACGCCGGAAAAAAGGTAGTTTCCGGCGTATCAGACAACTTTCTAGGCATGCGACTCGGGGTCGATCGTCTTGCGACTCGGCGTCGATCGTCTTGCGACCCGGCGTCGAACTAGGGGGTCGTCTTATATGCCGGGTCACCCTATACGCCAGAATATATGGTATGTATTAGCTTATAGGAAATAGGGATTTTAAATAGCATACTATCTTTTTTTATTCTTATTCTTTTTTCTTTTTTTAGTCTTATTTATTCCTTAAGAAAGGTAAAGGTATTGTGTTGGCTACATGTGAAAAAATAGACTTAAATATTTAAATGTAAGTAACTTTGAGAAAATCTTAACCAGTAAGTATGTTTTGAACATACTTTGTGGGAAAAACAAATATAAACAAGAACTGTAAACAAGATCTATGATGAGACAACCAGAATGACTAGATAGAAAAGGAATATTATATTGATGTGATTATTATCTGCAGAAATATTAGAAATTTTTTATACTCAATCATCATTCACTAAAATAGCAAGAATTGTACTAACTTAAGGTTGGTAAAAGAGAACATTATGGGAAAAAGAGGAAATCAAGTAAAGTTATTATGCGGATTATAGATTATATAAATCAACTGTTAGTGAATGTTTTCTTAAATGTAAGCCCAGACAACACACTGTTTACCAAATATTAAGGTGATTATGTAAAAAAATTAATAAAACATTTGCTTTTAAAAAAATTACATTTCAATCATTTGATTGTTTTGGGAAATGAAAGTGAGGCTGGGGCACTTAAAATCATAACTTCCATCACCATTTGCTTAGGATCAGTCTATCACCAGAAGAGAAAGATGTTCACCTGGGAATTCTGGGAGTTGAAGTCCACACATCTTAAAGATGACAAGATTGAGAAGCCCTGGTTTAAATAAATGTGTCCCATTCAGCCAGTCAGTTTACCAGAATCCTCCTTCTCAGGAGAAACCTGTCCTTTTTTTTCAAGGAGTAAAATAAATTCTGAGAATGACAATTAATTTTATTCCTTGAAGCTTTGCAAGTAACAAATTATTTAGGCCTTAGCACAAATCTACCCGTCAAACCAAAATTTGGATGATTTGGAATAAGAATTCTGAGCAGACAAAGGATTAGCTTTAAACATTTCTGCACTGAGCTAATAATGTGTTGGAAAAGGCAGTTTGTGTTTCTGTCATAATGCTCAGAGACTTTTTAAAATGTAAAGCTTTAGATACATTTAAGGCTGATTCATATTATCATTTAAAAGGCTTAAAGGTTTTCCCTGTCTATTCGTGACCGGCTGAAGTGGTGATACGCATCTCTGATTCACAACCAAGGGAGGCTGCATCATGTGGCCAGCATGAAAATATGGACCGCAGTAGCCTTCCTGCCAAAGTGGTACCTATTTATCTACTCACATTTGCTTACTAGGTTGACAGGAGCTGGGATGAATAATAGGAGCTTATCCTGTTGCACAGTGCTTGGGTCTTGAACCCAAGCTTTCAAGCTGACAAACTCAACATCTTAACCACTGAGCCATCACACTCCCCCCAATTTACCATTTAGCCACTTCTATCAACAACTCTCTTCCATGGTTAACAATGATGTTCCATGAGAACACTACAAAGAATTAATTCTAGCACATTTAATTAATGAATTGTACAGGCTTTTCTCAATCAAAATTCCATCTTCAGTTTCTGGCTCCCTATTCAATCTTATACATATAACAAGGTGACTTTATTTACTAGACATTCCATCTATCGCTCTCATAACTAGAAATGAATAACACCCAAACTGAGCAAGTTAAAACTTTCAAGTATTTAGGCATATATTTTCAGTCTTCAACCTGCTGGAATTTCAGGTTGAAATTTGAAACCATGTCAGAGATTTAAAAGGCTTCTATTGCAATAAATAGATATGCAAGCCATAAGGGGAATAATTACATGCCCATAGCATTTAAATTACTTAAAGCCAGCATAATAAGCCTTCTGTTCTAGGATGCACAGTATTGCATGTACAATAATATTGCCACAGTAGAAATAATTCAATCTAAATTTACTTAGATTTATTTATTTAGATTTATTCTTAGAGTTTCTTGTTCAATTAAAAATGCATTTCTTAAGTTAGAGCTTAGATGTATTTCTGTTGAGGACTGTTTGAAACTCTGCCAGTTTAAGTACTAGCCCAGATATATTGAGATGAATTTTTGGCCCAGCTTTTACTGATAGACAGACATGTTTTCTCACTGAAGAACAAATAATACCTGATTTGTTTCACTTGTTTTACCCTCAACGCACATACATGTGGCTCTCAGAAACATGAGGAATGAGGTAAAGCAGAGAACGAATGCTTTGATGCACAGTGATGGAATACTTAATATTTTCTGTATTAATACTTTTTTTTCCTTTCAATAAAACATAAAGGTTTATTGACATTATCACTTCTAACATTATCTAGATGAATTGGACAATTAAGTGATAGAATTGATATCTCACACCTCTGCTACAATGAACTTACTGAACTGCTTCTTATTACTCCCAAGTAATTTTATCTTATTTTGTGCCCTCCCACAGAAGGATGTTTACACTGGCATACCTAGATGTCCTGACCTTGATGGTGTTCATTGAGAGATTAAATATTTCACACTAAGGGCGTTTATATATACTCATGACATTGAAACTGAATCAATTGCACATGCACTTCTGAATTGTCCAATTTATCATTCTTGGAAGTTGAAAGTAACCTTGTCTGGAATCACAAACCACTTGAATTGGCCTGAATAGGCAACTGTGCATTTCCCGTTAAATGAACGATATTTAGAAATTCTATTTATGTGGTTAAATTCTTTACTATAAAAAGTGCTGTACTTTTTGTACTTGAACTAAAATCAAGTTATTTATTTGATTTTTTTATCCCGCCATTATTACTTTTATAAATAACTCAAGGTAATGAATATATATACTACTACTTTCTCCTCCTATTTTCCCCACATCATCAAACTGTGTGGTGAGTTGGGCTGAGAGATAATGGCTAGCCCAAAGTAATCCAGCTGGTTCTCATGCCTAAGCCCCAGACTAGAACTCACAGTCTCCTAGTTTCTATGGCAGCACCTTAACCACTACACTTATGCCTAGTTTTTATTATAAACAGGACTTTTGTTTTATATGCTTTGTATTTTAACAGTTTTATTTCAGCCTAACACCATACACATAAACAAACAATCAACATAATAATTGCCTCCTCTTTTCTTCTTCTAACCGTTTCCCTCAGGTGGGCAATGCTGAAACATAGACTTTATTTCTAATCTTGCACATTCCGTCATTTAAAACTTCTATGAAATACTGAAAATGTAGGACCTGTATTTCCCCAAGTGATATGCTTCCTTCCCCCCAAAAATGCTGAAATCTACAGTTCCTGCCCAATTTTGAACTCTGTAATTCCAACTCATTTCAAGGTTGCTTTATGGCTAATCTGTATTTCAGATTCAGAGAACCTCTTTTTGTTTTTAGCTATGGTTTCTGCTATATTTCTCCCAAGCAGGGAATGGATGGAATATGGAATGAAATAAGTGTAGGGATAGATATAGTACTGTAGTGCCATAATTAAATAGTTCTGATATAATGCCAGTTAAGGCAGTTTAAAGCACTGAAAATAGGACTAAAACCTGAAAAATTCTTTAGTGACGATTGACAGTAACCTAAAGTGTATAATTTCTACAATTAGATGAGGGGATAGAAAAGGAACTCATCAAATTTGCAGACAACACCAAGCTTACATGAACACTCCAGAAAATAGGTTTTTAAAAAAAGGATCTTAACAGACTTGGGCCCTATATAACAAAATGTAATTCAGCTATGAAAAAAGTAAGGTTTTACACTTAGGCATGAAAAAACCAAATGCACAGGTATAGAATAGGTAGTATCTGGTTCAATAGTAGGAACTGTGAGAGGGATTTTAAGAGTTCTAGGAGATAATCACATCAATATGAGATGTGCTAAACCAGCCAGGAAAGCTACTTTCAGGCTGCATCAACAGAAGGATAAAATCAAAATCATGTGAAGCAGTGCTTTTTTTCTTAAAAAAAAAAAAAAAAAAAAAAGTTGCCAGAACTCACACACATCATACAACCCGCCTTGCCAACCCTATAAGGTTCTATCCAAAAAAGGTGCAGGGAACTCCATTCTGGGCATTCTATGAGAAAAAAAGCCCTGATGTGAAGTATTAGTACCACTTTATAGTGCTTTGGTAAGACCATACTTGGAATATTGCATCCAATTTTGGTCACCATGATGTAAAAAAAGTTGAGATTCTAGAAAGAATGCAGAGAAGAGCAACAAAGATGATCAGAGCTGGAGACTAAGACTTATGAAGGACACCTGAAGGAATTGGGTATATCCTAATTTAATGAAAAGAAGGACTGGAGTGATATGATTGCAGTATTCCAATATCTAAGGGACTGCCATAAAGAAGAGAGGATCAACCTATTTTCCAAAGCACCTAAAGATTGAACAAGAAGCCTCCACATCTGGTTATGGAATACCTTATCAAATTAAGGCCTTATTTATCCTTACTGGGAATTCCCTCTTAGAATAGAGCTATTTGGAAGGTTTAGCTTTCCAAATACCACTTATGAGCAGATGGAACAAGGCATTGAAAGACATTTAGAGCTTTTGTCATAGTTTAACATCTTTTTATTTCTCTTTCTGAATGTGATCCTGCCTTGCATCATGACTCAGAAGGGAGGAGAAATGTACAGCATAAATAGGTAACATTATGTTGCCATAGATGTCACCAAAAAAAAGGGGGGGGAGCAAAGAACATTAAAGCAACAGCTGCTCCATGCCTCTTAGTGAAAATATCTAGAATCACCCTCATTTCTGCAATTACTCTGTTATCACTTCGGTTGAATGGTAGCCACTGAGGCAGGCTGACTAAGCAAATGTATTTTGTCACCTGCTGCTAAGTAGGTCAATAATTTGCATATGCCTCCAGCAAATAGGCTTAATTGCTTTTAAGCGGGAACTAGGAAAACAGCTTCTTCAATTTTCTTTTGACTATTCCCCAAAGTCCCTTTTTCTATTTTTAACTGCAATAAGGTCAGACCTGGAAAGCAGCCATAAATAATCACATGGGAACTAACTAAAAGATTACAATGTCATACATAAATGGGTGAGAAGACCTCTTCCTTTCATCTCTTACACCATTTCTTTGCACTTTTCTGGGAAAAGACATTAATGTACAAATTGCAATGTACAATGCAACATTTTATTCTGGGTTAAACGGTGAATCCAGAAATGGTTTTGAATCAAAAGCTTTCTTGTACTGATTTTAAGATTTTATATTATCAAAACTAATCAGAAGACTCATTTAGATCCTAAATAAAGTCAACTTGAATAAACAATGTTTGTTATGGATTAAAGGCTTTTTGAAAGCAAGGCTGAGCAATCTGAGATTATGGTATTATTTGCAGTTCCCAAAACCCTCTAGAACAGTGTTTCTCAACCTTGATAATTTTAAGGCATGTGGACTTCAACTCCCAGAATTCCACATCCAGCATTGCTGGCTGTGGAATTCTGGGAGTTGAAGTCCACATGCCTTAAAATTGTCAAGGTTGAGAAACACTGCTCTAGAATCATTCCAGAGGTTGTGTTACTACCAGAAGCTGCCACAGAATTGAAAGTTTTAATGTCATGGAGGGAGGAAATTATTAAGCGGATGGGGAGTAAATCTATTAAGTTTTATTTTATGAATTTTAATTCAGTATGAGTAATTATATCAATTTGGTTCCATCATTTGTAATCTTCACCTCTGTGTTTTCGGGAATGCATCTTTTGGCAGGACACCAGGCATGGCTAGTAGGAGAACGCAAAAAGAAAAAAAGAAAAAGGAAAATGGCACTCACAACAATATGTCACTTTTTAATATGCAATGCCGATTTCAAGCACACAATTATGGGCACCATTTTCAGTTTTTTGAATTCCATTCCTTCAGCAGGGTATTCTTGCATGTCAATCAAAGACCAGAAATATTATGCACTCCTTCCTTAAAAACAGTGGGTTTTAACCACATCATTTAAATTTACTGCTTACATGTAAAAGAGCATAAAAGGTTGAATCTTCAGGATCATCTAAAATTTTGGGTTTCGGAAATTGCCTTGGGCTTCTCTGTGAATGATCGCCATCCTCTCTTTTGAAACCAACTGCAAGAAAGATTCATTGTAAAAAAATGGTTTTGAAACAGCAACATATTTGAGACAAGTAACCATTTTGAGATGTAGTTAAGTGTGGAAAAGTAAGCAGCTAGAGAGCGAAGTTAAACATGTCATCAGTTTAGAGTTCTTGCGTTCCCACAGGTGCTCTAGGTTCAACCCCTCCTGAATTTTGTTGATCTTTATCTGGCACTAATGTAGAGTTGAACTTTAGTTGACCAGATTCTTATGTATAGTCTTGGATTAATCTATGCTGCAATCTTATAAATGTTCCTGATTCATTGCCCCCGACAGTGTAATTTCTTAAACATTTTTGCATATTTACCAAACTTATACAGGTAGTCCTCGCTTAGCAACTACTTGTTCAGGATTGATTCAAAGTTATCATGGTGCTTAAAAGGGACATTTACAGCTGGTCCTTGAGTTTGTAGCTGTTGCAGCATCTGCATGGTGATGTGATGCCATTTTTGACTTTTATAGCTAGCTTCCAAAAAGCAAAGTCAATGGAGAAACTGGTCAGAAATCACATGTTGTAATCATATGATACTGCACTTAATGACCACAGGTGATTCACTTAACAATCACAGCCAGAACTGATGTAAGTTGGGCATTGTCTATGGAGTCAGTCATTCATATCATAGTTGTTCCAAAAGAGCTTTAAAAAAGGCAACTGGACTTTCTTATTTTTCATGAAGACTTTCACTTCTCATCAAAAAGCTTCTAAGTAACTGGTGGGAAATGGAAATCTTTTTGCAGCCAGTCAGTCCTTAAACTCTGAAATTACCTGGGGTTTAAACTTTGTCCTCAGAGACAAGTGAATCAGAGTGGCTGACTGAAAAGACTACAAATCATTTCCATTTCCCACCAGTTAGTCAGAACTAAAAAAGCTTCTTGGATACAAAGTGAAATTTCTTCAAGAAACACTAAGAAAGTCCAGTTTTTTAAAGCATCTTTGGGATAAATTGGACACTCTCACATGTTGTTTCATTTTATGGCCACATTGCTCAGCAATGGAGTTGTTGGTCCTAATTGTGGTTAGTGAAGACTAATTGTAAATACCATCAAAAAGTATTCAAGGTAATAAGTTCATTTTGGAGATCCCTGACAGGTATTATTAGGATATATTCAGACAAAAAAAAAAAATCACAAATAAATTCCCATCTTTTTTGCAAGCTGCCTAATGTTTTAAAGCAACTTTAACTCCAAGCAAGAATTATTTAATTTATACAATGCAATGAATGTCACACTGCATCAAATATATTAAATATGATTCCAGTATTAACTAGACAAGTTGCTGATCAGTTTTTGAGACATCAAAATGTTGATGTTGACTTTAAGAGGATGAAATAATTTGATGAGGCATTTCATTTCCAAATGAAAGAATATACACTTGTGCACATAAGCAATATACACATCAATTGCTTTATTAAGTAATTATAACATATAGGCAATTATTGCTAGATTGCCTTAAGATGAACAGACTTTCAGCCAGTGATGTTGTATAGACCAAACTTAGCTGTCGGACTTTTTCCAGAATGAGAAAAATAAACCCCATGCCTGGAAAATTCAAGTTTTGGTACTATATTTAGTACATTTTAATTGTAGCACTTCTTTCTGTATCAGCTGTCCTCTAGCTTTTTTATTTTGCCAAATTATGTCATGATTTCATCTCAAGAACTAAATTGCATACAAAATACTTGTTTAGATTCAGTTGCAGTTATTTATACAACCAATTCCTAATGCTAACAAAACCTTTATGACTTTATCATAAGAAGTTGCAGATGCTCCATTACTTGAGGTTTTAAAGAAGAGATTGAACAGCCAGAAACGTATAGGATCTCCTGCTTGAGCAGGGAATTGGACTAGAAGACTTCCAAGGTCCCTTCCATCTCTGTTATTTTATAATTCTATAATTATAAGTCTAAGCAATCATATTTGAGTTGTTAGGAAGTCTATTATATTTTAAGCGGTAAAAAATACAACCCTCTTTAACCTGATCCTAAGTTCTGCTGAGCTGCTGGACACATATATGCCATCTTCTTGGCAACAGAACAGCAAGATTTGCCCTTGCTTCCTTCTGGATTTTTTAAAATTTTCAAATTTACATTGCCAAGTACTGCTACTATTGAGTAAGATTTTTCATTCTAAAGCAATGCTGAAATCCACAATACCTCCTCTCTCAGAAGCCCTCCCATTCTTTATATGCTTGTTTCTGTTTGGCTGGCTAGTGATTTGGTACTTCCTGCTATTAATACCTGTCTCTAGGTGGAAACTTCTCATGATTACCACACACTAACTCAGTTATGTATAAGAGATCTCTTTCTAGTGATTAAAAGAGTAAAAGATAAACATGAAATAATTTTGATATGCCACACTTTTGCTAACTAGTATGCTAGTATCCACAGCTTCTGCCCTTTTCCCACTCCACTGGGAGGTACATCAATCTCACAGGAGACAAACAAAATCTAGCTTCATTATTTAAAAAGAGACAAAATATAAAAAAAGGAACTCCTATCCATTTTTACCTGCAAGAATTAAAATGTAAATATTTAATGCAGAAATAGAGAGTTGTACAACTGTCCAAATCACAAGTGAACAGCTTGCAAATTAATCCTCCAAAAAACAAATGTTAACAGAAAATACCATATTCCAGACAAAACACAAAGAGGCACTGGTCTATTATGAATGAAGACTTCTCACTGCAAAATATTACAAAAAAAGATTTTAAAGAACAAAAGAATCTTAATGAATTTAGCCTATAAGATACGCACGAAAGCTAAAAGCAAGTATTTGGTTCCATAACTTGTACAAAGAAATAAAGAAAATACAAAAGAAAGGTGAAGAAGTTCAACATAGTTTCCTAGCTTCATGTATTTCCACAGACATAAATTTTCTGAAGCAAATTGCTCTCTGCTTCAATTTTTGGTCTTCCCTAGCAATTTGGAGATTTTAAGGACTAATAGGTTCTGCAATATGAGATCAAGGAAACCTGTTTTTACCCAGAAATAATTCTACTCTATGGATTCCTTTCTTTTAAAAACATGAACTTTTCCTATATGCAGGACAGGAGGGGCTGGGAAACATCTACAATGAAGCAAAGAACCAGCACTCTCTCTTGGAGATATGCACTGAAAGTCTTAAATCTGTGATTTGCTTTACAAGCTACTTTAAAAATGAATTCCTAATTGCCTGTAGTTCTCAGTTTATGACCATTGGTTTAATGGTTTGGAATTATGACAGCCTCAGAAAGAGTGCTTTATAGTGTCTCCAGTCATCCCAAAATGTTGCACACATGCCTCCATGGTCATGTCATTGCAATCTGGCTGTTTGGCAACCTGCTCAGACTTATGGCTGATTACTGAGTGCCCTGCAAATATATGATCACCATTTTAAATCTTTTCTGCTGGCTTTCACAGAAAGTCAATAGAGAAGATTGCAACTGTTGCCGCATGCCAAGAGGGCTCCTTATTTCTTGAGTTGGCTGAAAGAGTTGCCCGCTGAAGGGAGCTGAGGTGCTTTGGTGGGATACAGAAACAAGCTCCATTTTTGCATCCCATAAAAAAGTTGACAAACCCCCCACTATGGGAGTTCTCTTCTGCGTATGGAGGGGAATTGAACTCCTTTGATGGAATGCAGAAATAGAACTCAAATTCTGAAGATTCAAGCCCTTTTCTTGCATCCCACTGAAAAAAATTCCCTTCCATGCAGAGGTGGAGTGAGCTGAACTCTTTTGTTGGGCAGTTTTTTTAGTCAGTCTCCAAAGATGATAGGGAGCCAAAGTCCAAGCAGAAAGGCAGTGTGGTAGAGGGTAAGGAGCAGGGTTGGAGAAGCCCCTATGAGGCCTGGCATTGGCCAAGGGACAAGTGTCTCTTCATTCAAGGGCTGAAAAACCTGCTTGGATTTCAGCAATGGAGGATTTTCAGTTAAGTAGACCTCTGCTCCTTACCTGGGAATCGGTCCACCTAATAACCACAAGATCATTTAACAACCATAACTGGGAATGTTGGGATTGGGGTCGCCGAACAAAGCTGTCACATATTTTCCTTACCAACTGCAATTACTGAGTCAATTGTGGTCATAAATTGAGGATTACCTGTACATTGTATGTAAAAATCTAGATACATCTTAGTTAAAATTTGTTATTTCTGTAGCTGGACAACTATCTTCATTCTTCCTTATACTCTTGATATTATATGTGTTCAAGAGACATCTTACCTCTGGAGCTCATGTGATAATAAATTAAATGGATGACTATGGCCATCTTTGCAATGGTCATAAATAAGCCTCTCCTTTGGGTGATTTGAAGATCACCACTGCCTTTTAATTTTCTAGGCTCAAAATAATGAGTTCTTTCAATGATTTCACAGAGAATGTAGTTTCCAAGTAATCTACCTGCTTGACCCAGCTCAAATATGTTTAATCACACCACAAGAAGGCTTTGGTTACATGACTGTATGAATAGCATGCAATTTACAGATACTTATTGTGTTCTCCTATGTTTGATCTATATGGGTAAGGAAACAAATTTGCCCATCTGTGATATTTCATCAGGAAAATGCTATTCTACCACATTATGTCATTTTAATTAAGACAGCGACACAAACATTTATAATCAAAACCGATCAGCAATACATCAGTGTAACCCGAGCACAATTGGATGCTAACTTTTTCTTTGTTACATGTGATAATAAAGGCTTGGAAAGGTCACTGATATATTGAAAGGCCAGAAGGAATAATGTTAATTTATAATACAGCTGAGTAATGCTTACATTTATTGTTTTAGTTTCTTATCCGGGATGCAGAAGGTTCCTAATTTAATGAATTGACAATTATGTTTCCTTCTCAAGAACAAAGGTGATTTCTAAACTAAGGTGCTGCAGAGAATGGCATTTTAATGCAATTAATTCCTTTAATTACACTGTAAGCAAATATAACCAAAACCTTCCATTTACTGTTTCTTGTATGTAGTATATGTATGTGTGTAAGTTAGA